GTAAGATTCGAGTTCAGCCATTTCCTCTGGTGTGAGCTTCACAGCTAATGCTCCCACATTTTGGTTGAAATTATCGATTTTTGTTGTGCCAGGTATGGGGCAGACATCGCTACCCTGGTGGTGAACCCAAGCCAAGGCAAGTTGTGATGGTGTGCATCCTTTTCTTGTCGCCATCGCGTCAACACGCTCAAATATCTGGGCATTCTTCTCGAGACTCTCTGGTTGAAATCTAGGTAAATTCTGTAGAAGTATAAAGTTAATCAGTACAAGATCAAACTGGTAGTACAAGTTCCACTTTCATTTTATAGCAGAAATGGACAAGTCTTGTATGTACACTCATGCCAGTTCACAAAAAAACTGTGATTTTAGACAACGATATGGTCCTCGCAGCATTTTTATTATAGTATACTTTGTTACCAGTAGCTTGACAAGTTCAAATGCTAGTTGACAAAAATTGTCAAATTTGCATGAACAGTCAAAGCGGCATTTCCCCCCTCTCTGGTATGACCATTTATCGGGGCTCACCAGTAAGGCCGGTAACTGACCGATAACCAAAAATACCGGCCAGTTACCAAAACTTTCGGCACAACACAAGGCCAGCAATAGAGTAACAGCTACTGCCCCCAGGGAAAATGACAGATAGGGAGGCAGAAGTGCTAAGGAGCAGGGAACAAAAGAGCAATCATCGGAGTGACAGAGTACAAGAGCGGACACACTGTAATACCAGGTAGTAGACTACTAATATTTGTCACACAGCGTTGCATCACGAATAACTAGAGTAAATTGATTACATGAGGTAACCTTAAAGGGAGACAACACTACCCGGAAAGTGTGTATCACAACAAATGATGTGCTAGTGCTCCTAGAGAGTAGAGAATAGACCGTGAATCAATGCAAGCATGGTAATTGCTGTGGTACCTTTGCAAAGAGGTGAAACAGGTTCAATTTATCATTGGTACCCAATATTTTGAGGGATACCTAAACTACCCCCAAGGTGGAAATAATAAGGTACTAAATGTTGAAATATATTGTCCACCATGCACCATCAGTTCAGACTTTGTATGAACTGGTTGGTTCGTGAATTCAATATGGTATCGGAGCCAAGAGGTTGCAAGTTCAAGGCCTGACAAACACACTTTTGAATAAAAATAATTGCAGCCTACACTGATCCCATGTCTAAGGCTAGGAGCAGGCTAGACGTGAGGGGGTGTTGAAATATAATGTTCACCCTTCTGCATTATTTCGGACTTCTAGATGAACTCCTTGTGCATGAGATCAATACAAAACACAGCGACAAGATTTTTCAAAATCTGGAGAATATCGTAGATGTTGATTGTGGACTTGCAAATTCTGAAAAACAGTGCCCGTTTGTACATCGTAAATAAATAAATAGGGTGTGAAACAACACCCATCGTAATAACTAATTTATTTTTCATATATACCACAAAATAACATATTTTCGTCTAAAATTTGCAGGCTTGCTAGTTGCTATTCGTCTAATAATAGACACCCAAGAATTTCTTTTCAAAAATTTCAATCACAGAAGTGCGCCGTTTGAACTTATTGAAAAAAATATTCATTTCTTATAAGGGCAATATGTCCATTTTACCATGGTCACCCCTATTTGACATCTTTGCAATGGTACCATAGGAATTACCGTGTTTGAAGTGATACATTAACAATTACCTTTGTAGTGGTACATCGACAATTTATCGGGTAAGATATCAGTACCACAAGTATTGGAGTTTGACTAGATATATGTCCAAAACAACTAGTTTTTGCAAGGCAATGCTTTAAAAAAGTTTCCATAGGATCAAGGGAATGAGGATCATTCCCATCATGCATAAGCATAATATTTGGATCGTTGCACATTTAGAAATCTCATGACAATGAAGAACTAAGTTGCAACCACAATGTCATGGGAAGTCACCTTGCGGAAGTCCTGGTCTGATAGTGAGTCAACCAATTTTGCTCCTTTAGAGAAGAATCCTCTACCAAGTGGGCTGTAAGCAACAATTCCAATTCCAAGTTCTCTGGAATTTACAAGTAAAATGGTTATGATAAAATAAAGCGCATGACTTTTCAGCAAACAAAATGCCCTGGATCCCTGGTTTTTGTATAATACCTGCAAGTTGGAATTATGTCTTCTTCGACATCTCTAGACCACAGTGACCATTCCATCTGAACTGCAGTGATAGGATGAACAGCATGAGCCCTCCTGATTGTTGATGCGGATGCTTCAGATAATCCGATGTATTTTATTTTTCCTTCTTCGACAAGCTTCTTGAGTTCTCCAACCTAATAAGGTGGCAAGTAAATTTAGTTGGCAACATAAAAAAAAGGCATGGCTCACATCAAATAACAACATAACAAATTTGAACATAAGGACGAGTCCGACAGTTGTGTGTACAGATAAAGGACATCCATAAGCCCATAAGACACCAACCGTCCGGTGAACCAGCCTCCACCAACCATCTCTCTGTTCTAAGAAATTTGACTTCTCTCACTAGCAGTCTTCACTCTCCATTTGTATGTACGTATCCACTATATATATCACTAAGCTCCTTAGGATTGAAGGCCTCTCATTTAATTGAGGTCACCAATTTAGAATCGGAAATGTTAACACCCACACGTGTGGGCGTTTGCATCTCGCCCACACGCGTGGATCTGCGTCCGTTCGTGAGCGCACGAATCTTGGCATGTTTCTAGTGACACGTAGGATTGGCCTGGTGTGTGGGCATTCATCCGGTCACCCACACGGTCGTTTCACCGCACGGGAGGGGCTGGTGTGTGGGCGTTCAGCAGTTTGCCCACACGCCACTTTCCACGCACGCACAAGGGCTAGTGTGTGGGCATTTGCCATCTCGCCCACACGCCCGTCTCCTCTCCCACACCCAAGCTGCTAGTTGCCTTGTGTTTTGCATTGCACATGGCAACTGCCCTAGTGTGCTTTATAAGCAGGTGGCAACTCTCTTTTTTACCCGAGTTGCCATGTGTTTTGCAGGGTACACGGCAACTGCCTAGTGTGCACGTAAGCAGATGGCAACTCTCTTTTACCGAGTTGCTATGTGTTTTTGCATGGTACAAGGCAACTGCCCTAGCGTGCACGTAAGCAGATGGGCAACTCTTCCTTTTACATGGCAATTGCCCTAGCATACTTGTGAGCACATGGCAACTCTCTCAACTGCCTAGTGTTAGTATGTGGCAACTCCTAAAGTTTTGAAACCATGGCAACTACAATAGACCAGACCATACATGGCAACTACAGTTGAGCAACCATGGCAACTGCGGTTGTCCGACATGGCAACCGTAGTTCAGTGACATGGCAACTGCAGTTAAACGAACATGGACGAGGGTCTGGACCATGGCAACTGCGGGCACGCGGTGACTGCCACGCGTGGCGTGCGGGACCACGAGGTACGAGGCCTGACATACGGGGCGTGTGGGCGTTATCTACTTCGCCCACACGCACGCGTGTGAGAGGGATCGGGAGGGGGAAAAAGAGGTGTGTGGGCATTACTTGTTTTGCCCACACGTAGGTGTGTGGGTTGTTCCTCTTATACACCACACAAAATGTGTGGGCAGACACCCTAACGCCCACACATGTGACACTTATCGGCGTCCCTGGGTCACCAATTTTGACTGGGTCAACAATCTCTCACTCAATTATTTTAATTCGCTAGGCTTTCTAATTTTGGAGCTCTCTTATTTTATTGAGAAATTCAATACTGGATTTGGTTCATGATTTTCACTGGATCAATAATTTTTCAATCAATCAGAAGCAACTGGCCTATAAAAACATATCAATCCCAGGCACCCTCTCATCGCCTAGAAAAAAGAAGCATCAATATAATACATGCAGCCGCATAAAATTTCGCCACATAAGTATGAGTTGATTAGCAGACAACACAAAATCACACCGCAAAAGAACACACCAAAACAGCATATTATTTTAACATATAATGATGCTAGCCAACTCGTCTCCTCGGCTGTACCTCGATTTGCTTCGGTCTGGACCGTTGGCCGTTGGTCAAACTGTTTTTGTGTTGGTTGACGTTGGATCTTCATTGGTTCTCGTTTTGACCATGCGGTGAGTTCTCGGCAGACCATGACCTGTGGGCTCGGTCTCTCAGCCGATTGGCTGGGTGAGCCTTTTTCCCGCATGCGTGCGTCGTGGGCGCTACACGTGATTTACGCGATATGCATCCCGCTCGCCCCTGTGGTTCGCTCGTCGGTGACATTGCAGGTGGGGCTGGCTTCTCCTTGGTCCCGCGCGTCATTGTCCTGCCTCTTGCTTTTATGTGTGCGCGTGGCCTCCCGCGTTTGGATTGGCTCGTGTCGCGTATGGAGCGAGGAGGGACGCCATCGCCATGCCGCGTCGCGTCGTGAGCCATACTGGTGGCTTCTTTTTCTTCTGACTCGTCTGTTACCTTTTCCTGTGTCGCTTTGACCCGTCGCCCACCTGTCTCGTCATCCCTCTCGTCGTCCTCTCTGAGGCATAGCCCTCTTCGTCCGCCCCAGGCCCAGGCGATGGGGGCGCCGCCCTGGTTGCGAGGAAGCCGCTGGAGGAAGATCTCAACTAGACATTATCGACCAGAAGGAAGGAGAAGGATTCGATCTGCAGAAGAGAGATAGAAGATGAGAGGGGGAGAGGGAAGGAAGGAGAAGGATTCTATCTACAAGAGAGAGAGAGAAGATGAGAGGGAAAGAAAGATGGAAGGAGAGGAGGGAGAAAGAGAGAGGAAAGATGGGAGGGAGGCGCGACAGCGGACGTGAGAGGGTCAACGGTCGGCGTTGGCCTGCCCCGGCGAGGTAGGGCGCGACCTGAAGGTTGGTGGTGGCTCGATCCGCTCCTGAATCAGGACCTACGAGGAGGGTGGGGCTCGGGCGCGAGGCACGGCAGGCTGCGCTCCACCTCTTCCTTGAGGAGCATGTGCAGTGGGCGGATGGCAGCTCGCGCGGTGGTGCCGGGGCCTCAACAGGTGCACAATGGGGACTCCATGCATCTCCTGCGCACCGCAACCCTCCCCTTCCCGGCACAGCAGAAACAAGGATGCCGAAGCGGTTCAGGTTTGCCTTCACCTCCTCATCTGCAGCTTCATTCAGGCATGTATATTAAATTGGTAGGTATTCCAGGGATTTAGCTTATCTATGGACTACACCTACATGGAGAAGTTTTTCATGTACACATATCACTGAAAGTGGAATATATATATTCCAAATGCCAACACAACCATAGTCCAGTATGCAGAACTATTTGCACCCACGCAGTTATATCAGTTGGTTTTAGTTCTGAGATTTTTTTTATTTTGCCTTTTTTGCAAAAAAAATTGGATGTATGAAATCTGAGATTTGTACAGTGCATTTCTTTTCTTTCCATCTGCAGTTGCGACGAAGAGTAGGAAGATCGGGCGGATAGGGTTTCACATACCTCTTCTACACTTACAAGTCTTCCTTTCCAGGATTGCCATGGTGAGCTGTTGTTGTAGACTGTAGTGCTTTATAATTTTTTTTGTCCCTTTGCTAAACTTTGTTCTCTTATTCCGATGCTATGATTTGTGATGGCTAGATGAGATTTGTGGTGAAAAGTTTCCTTTCTTTTGTTTACCTACAGATCTTGAATGCACGATTGATGATTTTGTTTGATAGGTTAGAAATCTAAATAGTAAACATTTTAGCTTACTTACAATGTTGTTTGATCAATTGCTTTGCGGCAGGCTCACTGATGGAGTATGCCTAATCTTGGACTCAATTTATTGCCTGGTGTTGGTGTGTTTCTTTTATTCTATTTAGGAGGGTTCTAAGCTATTAAGGGAAACATACAATTTATCAGTTTGAGGCCTGCTTCAGTCTGTGTGCTGCTGCAGGGGGCTTTGGGGATGGTGGCCTTGATATTCCGCACAGTGACAAGAGATTTGTTGGCTTCAAGAAGGATGAGAAGCAGCTGGACACTGAGATTCACCGCAACTACATTTATGAAGATCATGTTGCAGACTACATGAAGGTGAGTTGGATCCATTGTCCTTGTGGTATTATTATAATGCCATTTCTTCATTCCCCTGGGCTATCGTTGTTGTGTTTGTGAATTCTTTTTGAAAGATATCTGAGCCTGATTCATCCATATAAAAGAATCCTAAAATAGTGTACTTTGTTCTTATTTCTGAACAGGTTACTGAATCTTATTTTAACTTCTGCCCTACCGTTATTTCAGTCAATAGCTGATGCGGTACCTGAGAAGTAACAATTTCACTTTAGTGAGTACATCAAGAAGGGGATTGCGGCTGATGACATGGAAGAACTGCACAAGAAGGTAAATGCTACCATTTGTGCTGATCCTACCATGGCAAAATCAACCAAGGAACCTCTGAAGACGCACAAGAGGTAGATGTATCTTGCTGTTTATTAAAGTCAGACAACTTATTTCAGCACTTTCATTGGATTGCAAGTTAACGGAATCGTTCGCTGCAGGTATAATCTCAAGAAGCGTTGAGGTAGGTGACACAGCTTGCCATGTATGTGATGTTGCAGCTCAAAATTAAGATGTTGTCAATCCAATAAGAGAAGCCAAGGAGCTATTGGCGATCGTGTGGTGCGTACTGGATCATGAAGTTTATCTGTATGTGGTAATGGGGGTATCAATGTTTTCTCATACTCATGTAGTTCATTCACTCCTAAACTGTATGTTCTTCTTTTGTTAAAACCTTGGAAGTATTAAGATGTTAGGCTAAATAAATTCCTTCATAATGAATAATAGAAAAGTTTTGCTATGCAATAAGATACAGTTGCATGCAAAAAATAATCTTGTCTTATATAGTTATATATCAAAACTATGGATTTGGTATGCACTTCTTGTGATCATTAGTGTTCACTGATTTCCTTCGGATTTTCTTGGATACCTGCGACATCGTGGTGTCGGACGCGACGGACGCTGCCAGGTCCGCGCCCACATCGTGCTCAGGGAGCCTGACCTCTTTAGTCGTGTTCTCCATCTTGCAGCACATGATGAACTACACTGTAGAGTTCAGCTGTGTTTCCCCTGTTTTCTTCTGCTACAAGAGTTCTAATGATATGTACTATTTGGCTGCAAATTTATGTTGTTTGCATCACCATATGGATAGTCGTAACAAATGAAGAGATTTCAGAGAGTTTCACAATCTGACTCGAGTCACAGGCTATAGGTTAACTTTAATTGAATGGTAGTATGGGAGTAATAATTTCTGAAATCTAGAAATGATCTTGTTGCTCATATAGATCTTTCTGGTAATCTGATCTACCTTTGCTGTATTAGTGGTGTTGGGTTAAAAATCAACAGTGGTGTTTAAAAAAGCTAAAGGTGACTGTTGTAGTTACTGGGATCCTCCAAGTGGATCATTATAATGATGAGAAAACATACCCAAAAAAACATAAAATGGATTAAAAGGAAACCCACTTTCTAGGATTGTGGGCTGAAGACAGAATGGATGCAGGCTTTGTCTCGAAGAGATTATCTGACAAGAATGAATTAGTCATCAACAGTTGAGGCGCAGCGTACCATCTTACTTGCTCCACCTCCGGACTATGTTATTCTCTTCTTTTTCTCCTTCGTTGTTGTGTCGCTTGACTGCATCTTTATTAGTTCAAACTCATGCTTGTTTTAGCTAGGATGAATTTAGGAATGGTTGCCTTTTCATGGTACAGTTGAGCTGATGTTGAGTATGTGTTTGTGTGTAACGGTTCATTTCCTCCTTTTCTTTCTGCAACATTTCGTGAACTTGCTTATAAAAAGATTCATCACATAGGCGTTTAGCTTGATTGTTCCGCGTACCATGAGAACCAGCATGACTTTGGATATATGTTTCTGCAGGTTTCAGAATGTATCCAAGATTGCAGGGAAGTTAATTACACCATATGTGGAAGATGGGCTGTGGAAGATGGACATAGCCCCTCAGGTAATTTCACTTTGTCCTGGATTAATAACAGATTACTAATTTGTTTGTTTAAATAGGGCAGGTTATTTACGGAAGTATTTTCTATGCCGAACTGGTTAGCATTAATTCTAGACCATTTACTATTGACTCGATAATTTACATGTTGGCAAGGACTTATTCCTGCAACCTGGTCATAATTGCTCGGCCAATTTCCCAACCCAAATCCAGAACCGCTTCATCTTTAGATCTTTACGTGCTTGATGAAATGCCTTAGTGATTAAGCTCTGCGCTTTGTCTTTCTTTGTTCTCCTGCTCACGGATTAACCGATGACTGCAAGGCCGAGAGAAGCATTAGGAACTGGTCCGCAGCGTCTTACAGTGTATGCGTACACACAATTCACTGCACTAACACTTATTGAATTGTTCATCTTCTTTCTCCTCTGTTTGTCACGAAGATTCTTCTATGACCACCTCTTTGAGGAGATCAACTAATCTTCGTGTCGCAGTTTTTGTTGAAACATTGATTAGGTGCTCCAAGAATGTATGTGAGCTTGACATTGTATTTAACTGCATCAAGGTACAATGATTCTCTTGGTTTGTATTTTATTCTGGATTTCACTGTCATAATAAATAAAGTCCAGAATAGCATTGGTGTTGTTTTATCTTAGCATGTACTCCCTCCGCTCCTAAATATAACTCATTTTAGAGATTTCAATAAGGACTACATACGAATGTATATAGACAAGCAAACACTTTTTCGTAGATTAGTTGCTTAGTTTCATATGTTGAACTGCGTTGTTGAGTGCAGTGCGTAGGCTCTTTATAAATTGCTAAGTAGGCGATCAACGCGGCACATGTGGGGGCTGTGAGAGCTGTGAATGGCATCGGTCTTGTCATACTTATGAGCAGGAGCACGGGCCACATTACTCCCCTCTGAGCAGCCGAGATGTTGACTGCTGCTTGAATCCTGAGATTGATTTCCACGTTGTAATGGAAGGAAGGCCTGTTTGAGTTCCTGTATGAAAGGATAAAGAAGAAGGGGCATGCTGTCATGGTAGTTGCTGAAGGCGTTGGTCAGGAGTTGATTACCCGGACCGATGACCAGAACCGAGAGCGAGCAGGGTGAGTATGTCAACATGTTGTTCCTTGACGTTGACCTTCTATAAAGTTTACATGCAACTCTCCTTCATGGTTAAAAAACCAATTTAAACGTTTTATTTCTTTGATGGTTACTCATTTCTCTTACCGTTGTTGTATCAAAACAATTGTATTTTTGTTGATGGCCGCTTGGGCTCATTTTCTAGGAGAATGAGATGTGGGATAAACTACTCTGAAATGCTTGATACCCTTCAAACAATTTATAAGCTAACTAATTTTGGCTGATGCTGCACATGATACAATTGTACTCTGTTGTTGCCATCTTGCCTTTTATGTGAGCTTAAACACACAATCAATTAAAATTTTACTAAGTTCATACCTTGCTCAAACACAGTTACTGAAAGAATGCAAATACTTTTAACGAGTACATGATTTTAAATGGGACTCCACACCATTTGGTGCAACGGGTCATGTTATACAAATATAATTTTTTGCCGCAATGGGCTATACAATTTTTTTAATTTGGATTTCGCAATGTGATAAACATATTTTCAATATAGCATGGTTTAACAAATGGGCTTTCTGACTATCAATATCGAATATGTCTTTACGAAATGAAATTATTTTCATCGACAACATGGCTTTAGCGGGTCACTGCGCCATTTGGCGCAACGGGTCAACTAGTATTAATAAAAAACACACTCCATCATCTTCCCCACTGATCAAACCAGATACTCCCTCCATTCCAAAGTATAAGGTGTATTAGTTTATTGAAAAGTCGAATTTCTTTAACTTTGAGCCAAAAATATGGACACCCCCAAAAACTAAATAAACAAAATATGAAGATTCATTTCATGATGAATCTATAAATCCAATTGATATTATGGATATTGATACATTTATACAAAAATGTGGTCAAACTTAAAGAGGTTTGACTTTTCAAAAAACTAATACACCTTATATTTTGAAATAGATGGAGTAAAAAAATATGAAAATCCAACAACATCAACAGTACAGGAAAGCGCGTCCAACCCTTCTAGTCCATAACCATAACCACAACAAATATAGAAACCACTCCAAAAACACAAACGGGATCACGACGTCCTCCTTCACTGACGGAGCGGTGGAGGACGGTAGCCCCGGAGACCGTGGGCGGCGGCACCACGATCCGAAGCTCCCTCCATCGGATCCACCGGCTAGCACTGAGAACCAGCCTCTGTCGGACTTCCGTATCACGGTGTGCGGAGGAGAGGAGAGGACAGGTGAGGCGGCGGTGTGAGGAGAGGAGAGAAGATGGGGTTGGTCGGCAAGCCAGCCTGCTTGATAAGGACATGGCTACTTTGGATACGACCAAAAATATTGCATACATGATGTTTGTGAGGTAATTTGTTATAAGAATTATGCAATAATTTATTTATGTTATCCGAAACAAAAATACTTCACCTATTTTTATTTCATGCCTAAATGCAGACTTGTTGAACACTTGTACGAACTACGTGTGAAGACAAGGGAAAAGAAAATGATTTGATGTTGTTCAAGAAGTACTCTCGCGTCACTTTTGGCCCAAGAGAAGATAGAGTGCAAGTCCCCCACATTCTGGACTCAGATTCGGACTGCACAGACATACCTGACTCAAAACGCCAACAACTTTTGCATCCGGACTCTTAATTGGGTGATTTTTTGTTGGCAAGTTTATTTTGTGCACTTTCCAACCCAATTGGATTCACCTTCAAATTTGTTCGGGGCGGGAGATATTGTCGAAACAGTCCGACGCTGCAGCAGAATCCGAGTCAAACTACAAGTCCAAAGGTGTTGCGTCACCTTCATTTGAGCCCATGGGCCTTGTACGACCTAGGGTTAGTTTTAGGCTGCCTTTGAAGGAAATATGCCCTAGAGGCAATAATAAAGTTGTTATTTTATATTTCCTTATTCATGATAAAGGTTTATTATTCTTGCTAAAATTGTATTGATCGAAACCTTAATACATGTGTGAATAC